GGAGGGCAGGCGCAGGAGGGGAAGGCCCTCTGGGAGATGGGTTGATTCGGTGACTGGGACAATTGGGATGAGTGTTTCGGAGACAATGAGATTGGCACAGGACACAGCAGAGTTTAGAGTTATCGTACATAGGATTGCTATCAGTCGCAAGCAACTTGACGGCACATAACAACAACAACAACATAGGTCCCTTTTAAACATTTCTCTCCCTTATCTGTTTCAATGCCGTATACATCTTTCCTCCCCTTCTTCTCTGTCTTCCCTCAACCCTGATGTCAGTCCTCTTTTACAATAGTGGCCCTATGCTATATTTGTCCTTTTGTAACTGAGATATTTCACTCAGCATACTATCCTCTAGGGTCATCCATTTTGCATAATATTTCGTGACTTCCTTGTTTTTCATTGCTGGATAGTATTCCATTGTGTGAATATACCAGAACTTCTCTATCCATTCATTTGTTGATAGGCAGTTGGGTTGTTTCCAGCCCTTTGCTATTGTGAACAAAGCCGCAACAAACATGGGTGTGCATATATCTGCTTGGCTGGCGGTTATGGTTTCTTTAGGGTAAATTCCCTAGTAGTGGAAATTGCTGGGCCAAATGATATTTCTATTTGCAATGTTTTGAGAAAGCGCCATACTGCCTTCCATAATGATTGCACCATTTTACACTCCCACCAACAGTGAATAAGGGTTCCAGTTTCTCTGCAATCTTGTCAACATTTTAATAATGGAAGAGTTTTTCTTTCACTTTTCAAGGAGAAGAGTGAATTGGGGGTGGGGAGGAGGGGATGGGCAGGGAGAAAAGTGCAAAAATGAATGACTGGAAACCCTAAGTCTCTGTAAACTTTCATTAAAATAAATTTTTTAAAAAGCAGGTTGCTCACTACAAAAACAAAAACAAAAACAAAAACAAAAACAATTTGTCTTTATAGAACTGAGCTAGTCCCTCACAAGTTAGGTAGTAATTTACAAAATCATTGCTCCTGTTGCTGTGCAGTACTCCAGTGTATGAATGTACCATAATTTCTCAATCCATTTGATTGAGGCTGAGTATTTGGGCTGTTTCCATGTTCTTGAGATGGTGAATAACACTGGTATGACTGTTAGTGTACAAGTCTGTTTATGCTCAGTTCTCATTCTTCTGGGGTATATTCCAAACAGTGGAATAGCTGGGGCGTATGGAATTTCTGTGTTCAGCTTTTTGAGGAAACGCCAACCTGATTTCTAGAGTGGTAGCACAATTTCACAATCCCACCAGTAATGTGTAAGAGTTCCTTTCTCACCACATCCTCTCCAATATTTATTACTTGCTGTCATATTAAACTTTACCACTGCTCCTGAATGAGATGGTATCTCATTGTGGTTTTGATTTGCCATCTCTCTCACTGTCAGTGATTTTCAGCTTTTTTTTTCTTTCCATTTCTCTGTTGTCCATCTGAATATCTTCCTCTGTCAAAAGCCTTTCCTTGTCTTTTGCCCATTTTGTAATTGGGTTATCAGTCTTTTTTTTTGTGGAGTCCCTGTAGGATTCTGTAAACTTTTGATATGAGACCCTTGGCTGAAATGATATTGCCAAATGTTTTTTCCCTAGTCAGTAGGTTTTCTTTTCACCCAGTTGGGAAAAGTTTTTGATGCATACAGGGATTTAATCTTTCGAAGGTTCCAATTTTATGGGAGAAATTATCAGTCTTTATCTATTTAGTATTATATTGGCTGTTTAATTTTTCCCCCCTGTGCCTTTTAACTTGTGTTTTTTTATTCTTACTAACAGTTATTTATAGTTACATTTGCTACCATGACACAATTTTCTAAGTGTCAAAATTCTACATTTTCATCTCTTAACTTTTTTGTGACCAGAACTCAAAACTCACTGCCTTCAAGCTGTTCTGGTTATGGTGTGGCCTTCCATCAGATGCCAAGTCTGTAAATCTTAATGGGAAGAGGCTGTCAATCTTTCTCTCAAGAAGCCAGTGGTTCAAACTGCTGGAGTTGTGTAGCTTTTTGGTTAGCAGCACAGTATTCTACAAATTATATTTACCATAGGGGATTTTAT